AAGCCAACGGAAGCCAAGGGAAGCCAAGGGAAGCCAAGGGAAGCCAAGGGAAGCCAACAGAAGCCAAGGGAAGCCAAGGGAAGCCAAGGGAAGCCAAGGGAAGCCAATGGAAGCCAAGGGAAGCCATCCCAAGAGAGAAGAGGGCCACTTGGGCTAGTTAAAGTACAAAGTCAGCCCCCCCCCCCATATCACCCCTCTAACCTGGCTGGAGATTACACCTAAGACTTTGCAACATTCATATACGAATTCTACTAAACATAAAGGGCCTGTTTCCCGGACACAGATTAAGCCTAGTCCTAAGAGTAAGAGGCACTTTTAATGGAGAATCTCCAATTAACATGCTTTGTAGTCTAGAAATAGGCTTCATCTGAGTATGGTAAACTGGCCCACTATTTAAAAGACTGATAGATAGATAGATATTCATGAAAAAATGTCAATTTCTCATAGGAAATGAGTCGGCCACCACTCTGCCGCACAGTGTGCTTTAACATTGCACCAGTTCGCCATTAAAACGTTGCTGCACAGTGAACCCGAGTTCTGTTGTTAGAATAGAATGGGTTTTGTGTTCTATGAAAGGACTTGCTCTGCTCTGGCAGTGATGTCCAGATCTGGTTGACTGGTCTGCCATTGAAGACGATGATGTCATCTCTCCCCCCCCTGCCTTGTCACGGCCCAGGGGGTCATATTCATGGGAAAGGTGTCATATTTAAAGAGCCCATTCAACCGAGACACAAATGGACAGGATGGGGCTGTGTGCACCTGTAGAACGGAGAACAGACCTTTTAGACCTAGCGCTGGCACAGGAAGTAAGGTGACAGGAGAACAATATCCTCACCTACTGACTCGCAGGAAGATTGAGCCTCTACAGAGCCTTCCACTGAGGAACGATAAGAAATAAACAGCTTATTTGTTCCAAGTTGTACGAGTTGACATTGGAATCAGGGTATGCGTTTCTTTCCAGCCACACCGTAATAGTCAATTGATTTACAATCTGCACACGCGATGTCCTTCTTCTCCTTGAATTAAAGGCGCACTATGCAGAAATCGCTCCGTCATTTCCTGGTTGCTAAAATTCTAATAGTTCGCCTAATTTCAGTTTATGTGACAAAACAAGAAGGTCTAGTGTAGAGAATCATTGTGCCATCTAAACAGCTGTGAAATATACTTCCCATAATCAAAACATATTATGTTTCAGCTGTTTGAAGCTGGTGTACAAAACCGAAAAGTAAAAGATGCAAAAACAAAACTTAAAAAACGGGAAGTATAGAAATAGCGCACATCCACAATAGAACAGATCTACTGATTCTTAGACATGCTTTCAATGAGAATGAACAATCTTATGTGAATTTGGTCAGGTCGTCCAAAAAGTTACATATTGTAGCTTTAATTGATGAAGTCAAATATATATAAAAAAAATAAATTACACAGTCTACCAAGTTTGAGAGAGGAGACAGAAAGGAAAGGTATGTATTATCTTCCAGAGTGTGGGGCTGGCTGGTTGAGCAGCAGCATCTGGGTCCAGTGTACCCTGCCTTCATTTCCTGTCCCTCTCCCCGGGGGGGGGGGGGGGGGGGGGGGGGGGGGGGGGGGGGGGGGGGGGGGGGGCGCCCCTGAGTGGTTACTCCAATTGAAACATCTCCTCTCCTCCTCCTCCTCCTCCTCCTCTCCTCTCCTGTCCTCTCCTCTCCTCTCCCTCCTCCTCCTCTCCTCTCCTCCTCCTCCTCCTCCTCTTCATACCCTTTTCTCCTGCTCCTCTAACTCGTCTTCTCTGGCCCTCCTGCTCCTCCATCCTTCCTCAGTTCGCTGGCAAAGTGAAAAAGGAGGGAAGCAGGAAAACGGTGGTAGGGGGAAATAATAGGAAGGAGTGGAGGATTGGGAAGGGCCGGTGGGTTGGAGTTTTCATGGAAGGAGTGGAGGATGGGGGGGGCTGGTGTGTGGAGTTTCATAGGAAGGAGTGGAGGATGGGGGGGCTGGTGTGTGGAGTTTCATAGGAAGGGGTGGAGGATGGGGGGGCTGGTGTGTGGAGTTTCATAGGAAGGGGTGGAGGATTGGGGGGGGGCTGGTGTGGGGAGTTTCATAGGAAGGGGTGGAGGATTGGGGGGGGGGCTGGTGTGTGGAGTTTCATAGGAAGGAGTGGAGGATGGAGGGGGGCTGGTGTGTGGAGTTTCATAGGAAGGGGTGGAGGATTGGGGGGGGGGGGCTGGTGTGTGGAGTTTCATAGGAAGGGGTGGAGGATGGGGGGGCTGTTGTGTGGAGTTTCATAAGAAGGAGTGGAGGATGGGGGGGGCTGGTGTGTGGAGTTTCATAGGAAGGAGTGGAGGATGGGGGGGCTGGTGTGTGGAGTTTCATAGGAAGGGGTGGAGGATGGGGGGGGCTGTTGTGTGGAGTTTCATTCATGGGTTTTCAGAGGGTGAGGAGAGGGGAGGAGAGGGGAGGAGAGGGGAGGGTAACAAAATCCTGCGAGGCCCCAGATTACCTGAGAAATTGTGGTGTGTCACTTTTGATATTCAAATGAAAGCTCTTCCTTGGTGGTGAGTAAGGGGGAAGACCTAGCATGACGAGTGGGTCTAAAAGGCTCTATAACACTGGACTTAGGTCTACACTGGGATAACTGGATTGGCCCAAAGAGAGGCTGATGTGGAAGACTTGATTGTTCCCCATGAAGTCATTTGAAGGTAGATATCTGTAAGATACTTTTTCCTGTTTCTCTTCATCTGTAGGATGAAATGAGGGTGGATGAAATGAGGGTGGATGAAATGAGGGTGGATGAAATGAGGGTGCTCGTGTCCAGAAGAGCCCTTCTTTACTCTCTCAGGGGTTCAATTATAAACAGTGACTTCTGAGGGCCGGGAAGAGGAGGTTATCACATGGCTATCTGATCTTAGACCGCCCTGAAACAACCACAGAGATTCCTGTGATGTTCATATGGAGGGGTGGACAGTGGCTGGGGCCAGGGCTCTGTGTGTGTGTCCTGCAGTGTTGAAATTAGCCCTTGCCATATCTTGTTTAGCTCCCATATCTTGTTTAGCTCCCATATCCTGTTTAGCTCCCATATCTTGTTTAGCTCCCATATCCTGTTTAGCTCCCATATCCTGTTTAGCTCCCATATCCTGTTTAGCTCCCATATCCTGTTTAGCTCCCATTTCCTGTTTAGCTCCCATATCCTGTTTAGCTCCCATATCCTGTTTAGCTCCCATATCCTGTTTAGCTCCCATATCCTGTTTAACTCCCAGACAATCAGGGCTCTTTGTGGTGGCAGATTTTCGTAGTTCTTCTCATATTCTAAATGTTTCAATTCCATCTTTTGCATTTTATGACTTTGTTTGTACGCTTTGATGCGTTCCTGGCAATTTGGTGACCACGATGACATTCTGGGTTTGATCGATGATGGAGGAGCTTTGGTTAGAGGAGTCTCTGCATATTTATTACAATCAGTCATGTCTTCCTTTGATTATAGGGAAGGTCCAGTTTTTTTCTCTCTCCACTTGTCTTGTCTGAAAGGAGAAATAGCACCCATCTAATAATGTGTAGCACAACGAGTGACACACAGAGATCATTCAGCGTGGATAAGGCTGGTGTTGTTTTACATTTTTACATTTTAGTCATTTAGCAGACGCTCTTATCCAGAGCGACTTACATGAGCAATTAGGGTTAAGTGCCTTGCTTAAGGGCACATCGACAGATTTTTTCACCTAGTCGGCTCGGGGGATTAGAACCAGCGACCTTTCGGTTACTGGCACAACGCTCTTACCCACTAAGCTACCTGCCGCCCTTGTTCAGTACGTCTAGTGAAAGAGTTAATGTGAGGACCAGAATGTGCTACTCTTCTATGCCTATGTTCAGGCTGCTGATGGACCCACATGTAGTCTAGATTCATAATGTATCCAGTAACTTCCTTTAGGGTCCTACGGAGCCCATATTGTCCCAGAGTGCATAGCAGCTCCCCTTGCGTGCGTGTGTTTCTGTCAGACGGAGGACTGAGGAGTGGTTTTCTGTCCGCCCAGAAGAGGCAAAAACTGTTGCAATGTTTGCTCAGGTTTCCCCCGTAGATGGAACAGAGCTGTAGTATTTTGAAGAAATGAAAGCATCGGTCTCAGCCCGCCACTGTTTTTTTTATTTCCCAACAGACATCAGACATAACATTCTATCCTGTTGTGGGACCAGGATATAATGTTATGTCTGGTGTATGTTAAAGGACTGGTTTGGGATAGGAAAACCCTGACATGGTCCCAGATCTATTTGTGATGTCTTGCCAGCTCCTGTGGTCATTTTCATACCAAACAAGAGGGCCATAGAAGTTGGGCCATGAACAGACCAGGGAGACGGCTAGAGTGAGACTGGGTCAGCTGGTTTGGACTGGCTGAACCCAGTGCCCTCTGTCATGTCCATGTGAACCAAGTTTCCCTGTCATCCTGAAATATCAATCTAATGTAGCTAAGTGTTTTCTTTATGGGGGGGGGGGTCAGGTCAGCCAGGTCTCTATGGGGTCAGCTGTAGAGGTAGAGACTGACCCCCCATCCCTCAAACTGCCACAGAAATAACGGGATACCTGTTGGTTTAAGGAAGGTTAAATTGACTGCATATGCTGTCTTTCACACTGACACAGTGGTCATCGTTCACGTACGCTTGACTTGTTTTACTTCAGATCATTCACGTGGTTGAGTGAACTGAACTTTGTCCAGTTGACTTGCAGTTGACTGGCTGTGACTTGTGTGTTCTTTCTTTGTAGCATGATAAGCATTTTCAGATAGTATATGGTAGATTTAACCATTATCTGTTTTGGGGTCAGAAAATTCTGAAATGTGGAAGGAAAAAAAATCCTTACAATGATTCACATTGACACATCAATCTCCATCATTTACATTTTACATTTTAGTCATTTAGCAGACGCTCTTATCCAGAGTGACTTACAGCATCACTCAGCATAAAGTAAAAATACATCCTTATGATCAAATAATCTAAAGAAATATCCTCTCTCTCTTTCTCTCCCCCTCGTCTAGAATAATGTCAGAGCAGAGAGCAGTTCGTCAGCCGAGCAGAGTCCAAGGGAGCGGCGAGGACCAGAGCAAAGGTCAGCCCAGCGGCCTGCTGCCCTCCCCTGGGCCCAGAGTCAGGCTACCGGGGACAGCCTGCAGAGAGACGGGCCTGGGGCCTTCCTCCTGGACCTCCACAACTTCCCTGACCTCTCCAAGGCAGATATAAACAGACAGAACCCCAATATACAGGTAACACTGAGACACAGACAGAACCCCAATATACAGGTAACACTGAGACACAGACAGAACCCCAATATACAGGTAACACTGAGACACAGACAGAACCCCAATATACAGGTAACACTGAGACACAGACAGAACCCCAATATACAGGTAACACTGAGACACAGACAGAACCCCAATATACAGGTAACACTGAGACACAGACAGCAACCCCAATATACAGGTAACACTAGACAAAGAAAAAACCCCAATATACAGGGAAACTGAGAAAAAAGCAGAAAAGGGAATAAAGAGGGAAGGGGAGTGTGGTGTGTGGTGGTGTGTGTGTGGGTAGGTTGGTTCTTTTTATCCCTTTGGGGGACCCAAAACCCCCAAAAATTTCCCCGAAGGGAGTTAAAACAAAGGGCCCCTTTCAATCCCCCCGAGGACAAAAGGCTAATTTTAAACTTATGTTTGGGTTAGGGGGTTTCAATTTTGGGGGGGGGGGAAGGGGGGGGAGAAGGGAAAAAGGGGGGGAAAAAAAGGGGGGGGAAAAACCCCCAAAGGCCAATAGGGGGGGAGAGAGAGTAAGAGAGGGCGAGCAACGAAGAGAAGAAAAAGGGGGAAAAGGAGAAAGAGAAAAGGGAAGAAAAAATTAAAAAAAGGGAGGAGGGTAGGGAGAGGAGGAAGATAAGAGAGAGAAAAGGGGAGGGGAAAAAGGGGAAAAGGGGGGGAGGAGGAGGAAAAAGAAAAAAAACAAACTAAGGTTGGGGGAAAAAAAAGGGGAAGGGGCCCGGGGACCAGAGGGGGGGAAGAGGGAGGGAGGAGGGAGAGAGGAAAGGAAGGAAGGGGATAAGGAAAAAGGGGGGGATAGGAAAGGGAGGAAAAAAAAAAAACCCCAAAAAAAAAAACTCTCTTTTCTGTCTCTCTCTTCTCTTTCTCTTTTCCTTTTTCTCCCTTCCCATTCCCCCATTCTCTCCTCTCTCTCTCTCTTCCTCTTCTCTCTCTCTTATCTCTATCTCTCTCTTCTCTCTCTCTATTTTCTCTACCCCACCCATTCTACTCCCTCCCTCCTCTTCTTAAAGGAGAGGTAGAATAAACGTATCCACATGTAACATATGGATTTGCATTTGTATAAAAAATCTGTATATATTTCTTACATAAAACCGATCAGAATGCCACAAGTCATGCCGGAAAATGTTTTTGCGGGGTGTGATGTAATGTGGACGAGCCAGCCTATTCCCTATAATGTAAACTCCAACAGAAAGTCCCATGATGGTAGTGACTGTCCATTACTGCTTATCACTTATTAACCATCATTTATTCACATTACTTTACTTTAATAAAATATTTCAGTTGTCTATATTCCATTAGTTTTATTTGATGACTTTACTATTTCATTCCAAGTCATCATCTCATCTCTATAGAGCTGCTGCCTATGCTATCTGACTAAATCACTATTTTAGTAGTTCTTCAAAGTAAATAAGGTATACTTTAATAACTGCTGAATACCAACTATCAATCACTTAGGTCATGTATTTCTAGGTAGAGGTACCTAAGGAAGCTGCTGCTCTCTGTCCATCACAGGTCTTCTATCTCTTCTCTCAGACAAGTAAGCGTGGATTGGATTATGGTCATTGTAGTTAATTACCACGTTTTCTGCGCTAAACTATTAAGAATATTGGCCTGTTGGAAACTACAACTCCCTACTAAAAACCAAATAATTTCTGTTAATCGCTCAGCACTACAAATTAAACCAAATCGTTTGCACTCATGACTACTGGTTTCAAGTACATTATCAGCCAACTTACAAGCAAATACTTTATGAATTTATTGTTACAAATCAGCTTGCAAGGTTGCTAGCCAACTAGCCTGCTAACATTAGTCCAGCTAAAGTGAGTTATTTTAGCCTGCTAGTTAGCCAACTAACCACGGTCGACATGGCTAAGTAGTAAGCCAGAGAACAACACCAACTAGTCTAACGCAGCAGATGTAAAGCCAGCAGATATAAAGTAGACAGAGCGGAGACTTGGCGATTGACGGCTGAGTTAGCTACCAGAGAAGAGCCTAGGCGAGAGGCCTTCAGAGGGAGAGGGGCCACTGTAGATAGATGCCAGAGGCAATAACCCAGAGGCAGAATTGGGCACAGAAGACGAGGAGAAGTGTCAACAATAAGACAGAGGGGGTACAGGGTATAGGAGGAGACGAGTCAACAATAAGACAGAGGGGGTACAGGGTATAGGAGGAGACGAGTCAACAATAAGACAGAGGGGGGTACAGGGTTATAGGAGGAGAGAAGATAGGGGGGGGGGGGGTACAGGGTATAGGAGCGGGGAAAGAGTTCACACAATACGGACAGAGGGGGGTACAGGGTATTAGGAGAAGAAGAAGCGTCAACACTAAGGACAGAGGGGGTACAGGGTATAGGAGGAGACGAGTCAACAATTAAGACAGAGGGGTGTACAGGGTTATATAGGAGGAGAAGAGTCAAACAATAAGACAGAGGGGGGCGGGTACAGGGTATTAGGAGGAGAAGAGTCAACAATAAGACCAGAGGGGGGTACAGGGTAAGTATCGGAGGAAGACGAGTCAACAATTAAGACAGAGGGGGTATGGAGGAGTGCGAAGAGTCAAACAATAGGACCGCAAGAGGGGGTTGGTATAGGGAATAGGAGGAGACGCAGGTCAAACAATAAGACAGAGGGGGTTAAAGGGTTTCTAGGAGGGGAGACTGAGGTCAACAATAAGACGAGGGGGGGTACAGGGTATAGGAGGAGAAGAGTCAACAATAAGACAGAGGGGGTATAGGGTATAGGAGGAGAAGAGTCAACAATAAGACAGAGGGGGGGTACAGGGATAGGAGGAGAAGAGTCAACAATAAGACAGAGGGGTATAGGAGGAGAAGAGTCAACAATAAGAAAGAGGGGGTATAGGGTCATAGGAGGAGAAGAGTCAACAATAAGACAGAGGGGGGTACAGGGTATAGGAGGAGAAGAGTCAACAATAAGACAGAGGGGGTACAGGGTATAGGAGGAGACGAGTCAACAATAAGGACAGAGGGGGTACAGGGTTGGTATAGGAGGAGACGAGTCAACAATAAGACAGAGGGGGGGGGTACAGGGTTATAGGAGGAAGAGAAGTCAACAATAATACAGAGGGGGTACAGGGTTATAGGAGGGGAAGAGTCAACAATAAGACAGAGGGGTACAGGGTATAGGAGGGAGAGGAGTCAACAATAATACAGAGGGGGTACAGGTATAGGAGGGGAAGAGTCAACAATAAGGACAGAGGGGGTATAGGAGGAGACGAGACGAGGTCAACAATAAGACAGAGGGGGTACAGGGTATAGGAGGAGACGAGTCAACAATAATACAGAGGGGGTACAGGGTAAAGGAGGAGAAGAGTCAACAATAAGACAGAGGGGGTATAGGGTATAGGAGGGGAAGAGTCAACAATAAGACAGAGGGGGTACAGGGTATAGGAGGAGACGAGTCAACAATAAGAGGGTGATAGGAGGAAGGCTCCAGGCAGATGGAAATGATCACAACATCACAGTGAGTCAGCTACTGTAGCGCACTAGTACTAAGCCAAGGTTGAAAAACTCTGGTAGCCTACTTCATGGAGAACACGTGGTGCGGCCCCCACGTGTGGGGAATCTGATTGGTTGTTTACATCACACCTCCTTGTGATTTGTGGATTTATGCTCGCCACTGCCAAAACTCAGTCTGCATGGCTAGTGGCTAACGTTAGCCTGCTCGTGCTAGCTAACGTAAAGTAAATTCTCAGTATGACGTTGAGAAATAGTGCATTCTGGGCAGTTTAGAAGATATCCGGAAATAAGTTAATAAATATGTAAAAACCATAAAACATCATGTAACTATGTTTGTAGTTATAGGTAACCAGATTGTGAATAAAACTAAGTTACTAAGTCTTTGACCACACTGTGTTGTTACTTTGGTGAGTAAGAACTCATTCTTCCTCCCCTTTAAGATGGTCACTGAAGTCAGATCTTGTGTCCATCATAACAACAGCTGAAAGGAAAAAACTAACCAACACTAGCCGCAGTACTAACCACTATACAGAGAGAAGCTAACCAACACTAGCCTCAATACTAACCACTATACGGAGAGAAGCTAACCAACACTAGCCTCAGTACTAACCACTATACAGAGAGAAGCTAACCAACACTAGCCTCAGTCCTAACCACTATACAGAGAGAAGCTAACCAACACTAGCCTCAATACTAACCAGTATACAGAGAGAAGCTAACCAACACTAGCCTCAGTACTAACCACTATACGGAGATAAGCTAACCAACACTAGCCTCAATACTAACCACTATACAGAGAGAAGCTAACCAACACTAGCCTCAGTACTAACCAGTATACAGAGAGAAGCTAACCAACACTAGCCTCAGTCCTAACCACTATACAGAGAGAAGCTAACCAACACTAGCCTCAGTCCTAACCACTATACGGAGAGAAGCTAACCAACACTAGCCTCAGTACTAACCAGTATACAGAGAGAAGCTAACCAACACTAGCCTCAGTACTAACCACTATACGGAGAGAAGCTAACCAACACTAGCCTCAGTACTAACCAGTATACAGAGAGAAGCTAACCAACACTAGCCTCAGTACTAACCACTATACAGAGAGAAGCTAACCAACACTAGCCTCAGTACTAACCACTATACAGAGAGAAGCTAACCAACACTAGCCTCAGTACTAACCACTATACAGAGAGAAGCTAACCAACACTAGCCTCAATACTAACCAGTATGCAGAGAGACACTATTCAATTCAATTCAAAGGGCTTTATTAGCATGGGGAACATATATGTTAACGTTGCCAAAGCAAGTGAGATAGATAATAAACAAAACCCTCCCACTGCTGCCATGTCTAAATCACTCTGCTATCTCATCCGACAAGACCCTCTTCCACTTCTAAGAGCATCAGACAGAATATTAACTGCTAAACCCCAGAATGGACAAAGTGTGTTGACATCTCAAGATGTAGGAACAGAGGAAGAAAGGGAACGGGGCTGGGGAGAGGGGCTGGGGAGAGGGGCTCGGGAGAGGGAGCGGGGAGAGAGGCTGGGCTGGGGAGAGGGGCTGGGGAGAGGGAACGGGGCTGGGAGAGGGGCTGGGAGAGGGAGCGGGCCTCGGGAGAGGGCTGGGAGAGGGAGCGGGCTCGGGAGAGGGGCTGGGGAGAGGGGGGTGGGAGAGGGAGCGGGCCGGGGAGAGGGGCTGGGCTGGGAGAGGGCTGGGGGAGAGGGCGGGGGAGAGGGAGCGGGCCTCGGGAGAGGGGCTGGGGGAGAGGGGCTGGGGAGAGGGAGCGGGCCTGGGGAGAGGGGCTGGGGGAGAGGGAGCGGGCCTGGGGAGAGGGGGCTGGGGAGAGGGAACGGGCCTGGGGAGAGGGGCTGGGGAGAGGGGCTGGGGAGAGGGGCTGGGCTGGGGAGAGGGGCTGGGGAGAGGGAGCGGGCCTGGGGAGAGGGAGCGGGCCTGGGGAGAGGGAACGGGGAGAGGGAACGGGCTGGGAGAGGGGCTGGGCTGGGGAGAGGGGGAGAGGGGCTGGGGAGAGAGGAGCGATTGAACGAGGTGAGTGAGGGGTCTTATGAGAGGAGAGGAGAGGAGAGAGAGGAGAGGAGAGGAGAGGAGAGGAGAGGAGAGGAGAGGAGAGGAGAGGAGAGGAGAGGAGAGGAGAGGAGAGGAGGAGAGGAGAGGAGAGGAGAGGAGAGGAGAGGAGAGGGGGGGGACCTCTTTGATCCTAAGATTCATCTGGCCTTCATGTCCTGCTGAAGGCTGAGCAGACCCTTCATGTTCTGGAGAAGGCTGAGCAGACCCTTCATGTTCCGGAGAAGGCTGAGCAGACCCTTTGAACTCACTGTTTAGGTGGAGAGGGTGAGGAGGGAGGGAGGGGGGTGCGGGGGTAGTGGGGGCATTGTATTGGAGGGGGTGGAGGTTCCCCCCTCTCATATGCGAGGCACATGTTAGGAAGTACAGCAGGATGGGAGGAGGGGGAGGGAGTCAGGACCACATCAAGCTTGACTGCTGCTACACAGACGGGCTCAGTGGGACTGCTCGGGGATGACCGCTATTCTCTTCTGTACAATAACACAACTAGATCAGAGCAGCTGGTATTCTGTGTCAGAAATATCTAGAATGTAGGCCACACAGTATTAGAAGGAAACAGTGCGCACATCCATGAAGTACAACTCAAATATATAATGTGCAGTTGTATCAAGAATTATATGATTGCTAAATCATGTCGCAGCATGCTTTAATGTTAGCATTGAGAGTATGTTGTTGCCTTCCTGACAGACACACACACACACACTCCAGACAGACTCTGACCTTTGACCCTGCTCCTCTCTCTCTCTCTTTCTCCTCCAGGTGACCATAGAGGTGGTGGACGGTCTAGAGGCAGCAGAGCCTGAAAAAGGCCTGAAGAAAGAGAACAAACCAGGATGGGCTGCTCCAAACTGGAGAAACTGGTGGCAGACCTCCTCCTCTTCCTCCTCCTCCTCCTCCTCCTCCTCCTCGGTCTCGACCCCCCGCAGGCCCGAGGAGCAGGCTAGGGAGCCGCAGCCGCCCTACAGGGGAGCAGGCGAAGGAAGAGGAGGAGGAAGAGGAGGAGGCAGTAACACAGAGGATAGTAACTTCCTAAAGCCACTTGGGGACTGGGAGAGGAGAGGAGGCGCAGGAGGAGGAGGCGCAGGAGGAGGCGGAGGAGGAAGTACCAGCAAGGCTCAAACTGAATATGGTGAGTGTTGTGTGTGACTGGGTGGGAATGACGGAAGAAGGGAGAGAGGACGTGTGTGTGTTTGTTTTTATAGGGATGTGTATATGCGTGTGTCTGTGCATGTGCATGTGTGTGTTCCAAGCGTGTGAGTGTGTGTGACAGTGCGATGAGAGTCACTCACTGAGAATATTTAGCCTGATGGGACCTAGCTAAGGTCTGGTTCTGATGGGATCTAGTTAAATGGACAGTCTGGAGGTCTGGTTCTGATGGGACCTAGCTGTCACCATAATAACTACAGTGTAGTTAGCAGATAGCTGTCACCATAATAACTACAGTGTAGTTAGCAGCTGTCACCACATTAATTACAGTGTAGTTAGCAGGTAGCTGTCACCATAATAACTACAGTGTAGTTAGCAGATAGCTGTCACCATAATAACTACAGTGTAGTTAGCAGATAGCTGGCACCATAATAACTACAGTGTAGTTAGCAGATAGCTGTCACCATAATAACTACAGTGTAGTTAGCAGCTGTCACCATAATAACTACAGTGTAGTTAGCAGCTGTCACCACATTAATTACAGTGTAGTTAGCAGATAGCTGTCACCATAATAACTACAGTGTAGTTAGCAGATAGCTGGCACCATAATAACTACAGTGTAGTTAGCAGATAGCTGGCACCATAATAACTACAGTGTAGTTAGCAGATAGCTGTCACCATAATAACTACAGTGTAGTTAGCAGATAGCTGTCACCATAATAACTACAGTGTAGTTAGCAGATAGCTGTCACCATAATAAATACAGTGTAGTTAGCAGATAGCTGTCACCATAATAACTACAGTGTAGTTAGCAGATAGCTGTCACCATAATAACTACAGTGTAGTTAGCAGATAGCTGTCACCATAATAACTACAGTGTAGTTAGCAGATAGCTGTCACCATAATAACTACAGTGTAGTTAGCAGATAGCTGTCACCATAATAACTACAGTGTAGTTAGCAGATAGCTGGCACCATAATAACTACAGTGTAGTTAGCAGATAGATGTCACCATAATAACTACAGTGTAGTTAGCAGATAGCTGTCACCATAATAACTACAGTGTAGTTAGCAGATAGATGTCACCATAATAACTACAGTGTAGTTAGCAGATAGCTGGCACCATAATAACTACAGTGTAGTTAGCAGATAGCTGTCACCATAATAACTACAGTGTAGTTAGCAGATAGCTGTCACCATAATAACTACAGTGTAGTTGGCAGATAGCTGTCACCATAATAACTACAGTGTAGTTAGCAGATAGCTGGCACCATAATAACTACAGTGTAGTTAGCAGATAGCTGTCACCATAATAACTACAGTGTAGTTAGCAGATAGCTGTCACCATAATAACTACAGTGTAGTTAGCAGATAGCTGTCACCATAATAACTACAGTGTAGTTAGCAGATAGCTGTCACCACATTAATTACAGTGTAGTTAGCAGATAGCTGTCACCATAATAACTACAGTGTAGTTAGCAGATAGCTGTTACCATAATAACTACAGTGTAGTTAGCAGATAGCTGTCACCATAATAACTACAGTGTAGTTAGCAGATAGCTGTCACCATAATAACTACAGTGTAGTTAGCAGATAGCTGGCACCATACACTACAGTGTAGTTAGAAGATAGCTGTCACCATAATAACTACAGTGTAGTTAGCAGATAGCTGTCACCATAATAACTACAGTGTAGTTAGCAGATAGCTGTCACCACATTAATTACAGTGTAGTTAGCAGATAGCTGTCACCATAATAACTACAGTGTAGTTAGAAGATAGCTGTCACCATAATAACTACAGTGTAGTTAGCAGATAGCTGTCACCATAATAACTACAGTGTAGTTAGCAGATAGCTGTCACCATAATAACTACAGTGTAGTTAGCAGATAGCTGGCACCATAATAACTACAGTGTAGTTAGCAGATAGCTGTCACCATAATAACTACAGTGTAGTTAGCAGATAGCTGTCACCATAATAACTACAGTGTAGTTAGCAGATAGCTGTCACCATAATAACTACAGTGTAGTTAGCAGATAGCTGTCACCATAATAACTACAGTGTAGTTAGCAGATAGCTGTCACCATAATAACTACAGTGTAGTTAGCAGATAGCTGGCACCACATTAATTACAGTGTAGTTAGCAGATAGATGTCACCATAATAACTACAGTGTAGTTAGCAGATAGCTGTCACCATAATAACTACAGTGTAGTTAGCAGATAGCTGTCACCATAATAACTACAGTGTAGTTAGCAGACAGCTGTCACCATAATAACTACAGTGTAGTTAGCAGATAGCTGTCACCATAATAACTACAGTGTAGTTAGCAGATAGCTGTCACCATAATAACTACAGTGTAGTTAGCAGATAGCTGGCACCATAATAACTACAGTGTAGTTAGCAGATAGATGTCACCATAATAACTACAGTGTAGTTAGCAGATAGCTGTCACCACATTAATTACAGTGTAGTTAGCAGATAGCTGTCACCATAATAACTACAGTGTAGTTAGCAGACAGCTGTCACCATAATAACTACAGTGTAGTTAGCAGATAGCTGTCACCATAATAACTACAGTGTAGTTAGCAGATAGCTGGCACCATAATAACTACAGTGTAGTTAGAAGATAGCTGTCACCATAATAACTACAGTGTAGTTCGCAGATAGCTGTCACCACATTAATTACAGTGTAGTGGTTCCAGTCCTCTCAGTGATTGAAGCTTTTAACACTCTTTAGTTTCATGAGCTGGATATGTCCGTGGAGCTGAGCTATGAGTGTGCGCGTAGTCACAGTTTAAACGCCTCTCAAACATCAACGACCCCTGACAGGAACCCGGGTCAGAACCAGGGCTGTGTCCTGTATGTCTCCCTACAGACCACTTCCGTTAGAGGGCTGCCACACCACACCACACCACTCGTAACATTCTCACAACACTCTCCACAACTGGCCAGCTAGATGGATAAATCTGCTGTAGAAGAATTCACCCTCCCTATCTATCCTCGCCGTGTCTCAGCCTGTCCACCGGCACCAACATAACAACTGTTACACAGGAATGTGGGTGTTATGGAGAGAGAAGAAATATCATTTATCCATCTGTTACATTCTTGTTCAAACTGAAATCCAATGTTTAATCACACTGGCTTATCACGGAGGATGGACAACTATCTAGTTCACTACTATTGGACTGCCCTGTGATAGACTAGTGTCCTGTCCAGAGGGTGTACTGGTACATCAAGCGGTCTCACTACAGAAACAGGAGATAGACTAGTGTCCTGTCCAGGGGGTGTCCTGTACATCAAGCTGTCTCACTACAGAAAGAGGAGATAGACTAGTGTCCTGTCAAGGGGGTGTACTGGTACATCAAGCTGTCTCACTACAGAAACAGGAGATAGACTAGTGTCCTGTCCAGGGGGTGTCCTGTACATCGAGCTGTCTCACTACAGAAACAGGAGATAGACTAGTGTCCTGTCCAGGGGGTGTACTGTACATCAAGCTGTCTCACTACAGAAACAGGAGATAGACTAGTGTCCTGTCCAGGGGGTGTCCTGTACATCAAGCTGTCTCACTACAGAAACAGGAGATAGACTAGTGTCCTGTCCAGGGGGTGTCCTGTACATCAAGCTGTCTCACTACAGAAACAGGAGATAGACTAGTGTCCTGTCCAGGGGGTGTACTGGTACATCAAGCTGTCTCACTACAGAAACAGGAGATAGACTAGTGTCCTGTCCAGGGGGTGTCCTGTACATCAAGCTGTCTCACTACAGAAACAGGAGATAGACTAGTGTCCTGTCCAGGGGGTGTCCTGTACATCAAGCTGTCTCACTACAGAAACAGGAGATAGACTAGTGTCCTGTCCAGGGGGTGTACTGTACATCAAGCTGTCTCACTACAGAAACAGGAGATAGACTAGTGTCCTGTCCAGAGGGTGTACTGGTACATCAAGCTGTCTCACTACAGAAAGAGGAGATAGACTAGTGTCCTGTCCAGGGGGTGTACTGTACATCAAGCTGTCTCACTACAGAAACAGGAGATAGACTAGTGTCCTGTCCAGGGGGTGTACTGTACATCAAGCTGTCTCACTACAGAAACAGGAGATAGACTAGTGACCTGTCCAGGGGGTGTACTGGTACATCAAGCTGTCTCACTACAGAAACAGGAGGTAGACTAGTGTCCTGTCCAGGGGGTGTCCTGTACATCAAGCTGTCTCACTATAGAAACAAGAGATAGACTAGTGTCCTGTCCAGGGGGTGTACTGGTACATCAAGCTGTCTCACTACAGAAACAGGAGATAGACTAGTGTCCTGTCCAGGGGGTGTACTAGTACATCAAGCTGTCTCACTACAGAAACAGGAGATAGACTAGTGTCCTGTCCAGGGGGTGTCCTGTACATCAAGCTGTCTCACTACAGAAACAGGAGATGGACTAGTGACCTGTCCAGGGGGTGTACTGTACATCAAGCTGCTACAGAAACAGGAGATAGACTAGTGTCCTGTCCAGGGGGTGTACTGTACATCAAGCTGTCTCACTACAGAAACAGGAGATAGACTAGTGTCCTGTCCAGGGGGTGTCCTGTACATCAAGCTGTCTCACTACAGAAACAGGAGGTAGACTAGTGTCCTGTCCAGGGGGTGTACTGTACATCAAGCTGCCTCACTACAGAAACAGGAGATAGACTAGTGTCCTGTCCAGGTGGTGTACTGGTACATCAAGCTGCTACAGAAACAGGAGATAGACTAGTGTCCTGTCCAGGGGGTGTACTGTACATCAAGCTGTCTCACTACAGAAACAGGAGATAGTCTGTGATCTCACAGCTGCCCTTACAACAACAAAACACTTTTTTCACATGTTGAGCTTAAATTCCACATGTAATCTATTACATGTAGAGTTCACATGTTAACAGCACCTTTTCACATGTGAGGAAAATAACATGTTTTCGCCTCACATGTGAATTGTAGTTTGAAATGTGCACATGTTAAAAACTTTCACGTGAGAATCGATTATGTAGTTTAAGAAAACTCCACATGTGAAAAACATTGTACTGAAACCGTGCAGAGGAAATGTTTCCATGTATTATTGTTAAACTGATTCCTAAATGTTTCCATGTATTATCATTAAACTGATCCCTTTAATGATAATTGGGACTAACAAGGATTTCTTTCCATTTCAGCCCCCACTTCCAGAAAAATACAAGACTGAGTCAGTAAGCAGCCCCAGTCAGACTCTTTAGATTTTTTGAGGGTTTGAAAATACCTCAGAAATACCTTAGTTTGCATAAGTATTCAGACCCTTTGCTATGACACTCGAAATTGAGCTCAGATGCATCCTGTTTTCATTGATCATCCTTAAGATGTTTCTACAACTTGATTGGAGTCCACCGATGGTAAATTCAATTCATTGGACATGATTTGGAAAGGCACAAACCTGTCTACAGTGGCTTGCGAAAGTATTCAATTTAAATTACAGGTTGTAATGCAACAAAATAGGAAAAACGCCAAGGGGGATGAATACTTTTGCAAGGCACCTTTACACCTCATTTGAAATTATTACAGTGTGTTAACATTAACCCAGCGTCCACCTCCCTGGTTAGAAGTAGAGCTTTCCTGGAAAATATTAGTTTTTTTGCCAAATGCTTCCTGGTGTGTTTTTGTAAATACTGAAAACACTCACTCACTCTGCCATGTGTGTCTGTGTGTGTGTGTGTGTGTGTGTGTGTGTGTGTGTGTAAGCTTGTCTGAGAGTCAAAGTCAAAGGGAACTATTAGCCCCCACCCACCCATCCATGACCCCCACACCCCAGTCCGTGACCCCCCACTCTCCCTCCATGACCCCCACACCACATCCATGACCCCCCAGACCACCTCCATGACCCCTCCGTCCATGACCCCCCACACCCTCCTCCATGACCCCCCCTCCATCCCTTCCATGACCCCCCTCCATGACCCCCCCTCCATGACCCCCCCCTCCATCCCTTCCATGACCCCCCTCCATGACCCTCCCCCTCCATGACCCCCACCCTCTACAACAGTGTTTCCCAACTATAGTGTTAGACTGCGACCACACTGAGATCATATTCTTTGTCCATTAAAAGTTAAACTCAAGTCAAGTATTTTCGGATCAGTTGCATACATAATTATTTTTTATCTGTCTGACAAATTGGGACAATCATCTCTGTTGTCCATCTTACGTCAACAGATGACTCCCATTGAAAAGCATTGGTTGAACCCGGAATTTTCAGACACAAAATCTCAATGTGGCCTTATGCTGACAGTCTCTCTCTCTACATTTTTAAAAACATATTACCTCAATCAATCACCCCAACTACCTCGTACCCCACTACACTGACTCAGTACCGGTACTCCTTGTATATAGCCTTGTTATTGTTATTTTAATGTGTTATTTATTGTGTTTTTTATTGTGTTCTTTTACTGTGTTACTATTTTATTTTATTTTAATCTATTTGTTAATTTCAATACTTTTTTACTGCATTGTTGGGAAAGGGCTTGCAATTAAGTATTCCACTGTAAAGTCTACACTTGTTGTATTCGGCGCATGGAACATGTTTTTATTTTTTATCTTTCTCTCTCTGCCCCCCTCTCCCGCGCTCCTCTCTCTGCCCCCCTCTCCCGCGCTCCTCTCTCTGTCCTCCTCTCCCGCGCTCCTCTCTCTGCCCCCCTCTCCTGCGCTCCTCTCTCTGCCCCCTCTCCCGCGCTCCTCTCTCTGCCCCCCCTCTCCCGCGCTCCTCTCTTGCCCTCCTCTCCCGCGCTCCTCTCTCTGCCCTCCTCTCTCTGCCCCCCCTCTCCCGCGACTCCTCTCTCTGCCCTCCTCTCTCGCGCTCCTCTCTCTGTCCTCCTCTCCCGCGCTCCTCTCTCTGCCCTCCTCTCTCGCGCTTCCTCTCTCTGCCCCCCTCTCCCGCGCTCCTCTCTCTGCCCCCCTCTCCCGCGCTCCTCTCTCTGCCCCCCTCTCCCGTGCTCCTCTCTCTGCCCCCCTCTCCCGCGCTCCTCTCTCTGCCCCCCTCTCCCGCGCTCCTCTCTCTGTCCCCCTCTCCCGCGCTCTCTCTGCCCTCCCTCTCGGCTCCTCTCTCTGCCCCCTCTCCGCGCTCCTCTCCTCTCTCTCTCCCCCTCTCCCGCGCTCCTCTCTCTGCCCTCCTCTCCCGCGCTCCTCTCTCTTCCCCCCTCTCCCGCGCTCCTCTCTCTCTCCCTCCTCTCCCGCGCTCCTCTCTCTGCCCTCCTCTCCCGCGCTCCTCTCTCTGCCCCCCCTCTCCCGCGCTCCTCTCTCTGCCCCCTCTCCCGCGCTCCTCTCTCTGTCCTCCTCTCCCGCGCTCCTCTCTCTGCCCTCCTCTCCCGCGCTCCTCTGTCTGCCCTCCTCTCCCGCGCTCCTCTCTCTGCCCTCCTCTCTCTCGCTCCTCTCTCTGTCCCCCTCTCCCGCGCTCCTCTCTCTGCCCTCCTCTCCCGCGCTCCTCTCTCTGCCCTCCTCTCTCGCGCTCCTCTCTCGCGCTCCTCTCCAGACTATATAGACGGAGAGGGTGACTGGAGTAACTGGTATCCATGCAGTGTAACCTGTGGGAACGGGAACCAGAAGAGGACCAGGTCATGTGGTTACGCCTGCACCGCCACCGAGTCACGCACCTGTGACATGCCATCCTGCCCAGGTGAGGACAGTGTGACACTGTGTGGTCTAAAGCTATTTTTCTTTCTATGGGTCAGTGGATCCAGGTCATATGTTTAAAGGGTCACTGTGGTATTTACAAGGTTTTTTATTTAAGTACACAGTGTGTGTGTGAAACAGGAAGTACCCGGTGTGTGAAACAGGAAGTACACAGTGTGTGAAACAGGAAGTACCCGGTGTGTGAAACAGGAAGTACCCGGTGTGTGAAACAGGAAGTACACAGTGTGTGAAACAGGAAGTACCCGGTGTGTGAAACAGGAAGTACACAGTGTGTGAAACAGGAAGTACCCGGTGTGTGAAACAGGAAGTACACGGTGTGTGAAACAGGAAGTACCCGGTGTGTGAAACAGGAAGTACCCGGTGTGTGAAACAGGAAGTACCCTGTGTGTTCACTGTCTTTACATCTTCCTTCTGTTGCATCATTAACTGACCATGTGTCTGTCTACAGGTATTGAAGATGCGTTCAAGACAGCCGCCACTGAGGTCGGTCTGCTGGCTGGAACAGATGAGTTCAACGCTACAGAGCTCTTTGGTGTTGGTAAGATTCTTCTTTCATTAGTCTTTTTTTTTTTTTGTGTGTCATTTTTCACTTCAGCTCATCCCTCAACTGTCAAATGCAACAGCGATTCTATTTAGCATTAGTGTCCAGGTCAGGGTTACTTTCTGAATTGACCCCAAACCCTGGCCCCAGTCCTCCCAGCACAGTCCATTGATTTGAGAGGGAATGTCTGTTCTAGTCATTATATTTCTATGGCCCAGTCCTCCAGCCTTCCTGGGCCAACTCATCATTCTTTGTCATTGTGCATCAGGACAGGAAGAGAGCCCAGCATGCAATGTTGCATCAGGACAGGAAGAGAGCCCAGCATGCAATGTTGCATCAGGACAGGAAGAGAGCCCAGCATGCAATGTTGCATCAGGACAGGAAGAGAGCCCAGCATAAAATGTTGCATCAGGACAGGAAGAGAGCCCAGCCCGTCACAGCATCCTGTAATGTTGCATCAGGACAGGAAGAGAGCCCAGCACGTCACAGCATCCTGTGATGTTGCATCAGGACAGGAAGAGAGCCCAGCCCGTCACAGCATTCTGTAATGTTGCATCAGGACAGGAAGAGAGCCCAGCACGTCACAGCATTCTGTAATGTTGCATCAGGACAGGAAGAGAGCCCAGCACGTCACAGCATCCTGTAATGTTGCATCAGGACAGGAAGAGAGCCCAGCACGTCACAGCATCCTGTAATGTTGTGCTCTCTGTGTCTGTCCCAATATTCTCAGCCTCAGTTAGCCAGGGGAAAAACACCCATCAAATAAATAGCTAGGCTATCACACTTCTTCATCCTCCCATTCCCCTCTTGTATGAGAGAGAGAGTCATACGCTTGTACGCTTTGGCAATATGAACATTGTTACATCATGCCAATAAAGCAATTTGAAATTGAAAAATTGAAATTGAAAGAGAGAGAGAGAGAGGGGGGGGGTGAGGGAGGGCTGAGAAAAAAAGAGGGAGAGAGAGCGAGAGGAAAAGAGATTCAGTAGATCCAGACTAACTAACTCTGTCTCTGATCTCTTCCAGACACCGACAGCTGTAGAGATAGATCCAGACTAACTAACTCTGTCTCTGATCTCTTCCAGACACCGACAGCTGTAGAGATAGATCCAGACTAACTAACTCTGTCTCTGATCTCTTCCAGACACCGACAGCTGTAGAGATAGATCCAGACTAACTAACTCTGTCTCTGATCTCTTCCAGACACAGACAGCTGTAGAGATAGATCCAGACTAACTAACTCTGTCTCTGATCTCTTCCAGACACAGACAGCTGTAGAGATAGATCCAGACTAACTAACTCTGTCTCTGATCTCTTCCAGACACAGACAGCTGTGAACGCTGGATGAACTGTAAGTCTGAGTTCCTGAAGAAATACATGACCAAGGTGTCCAACGACCTCCCCAGCTGCCCCTGCTCCTACCCCACCGAGGTGGCCTACAGCACGGCCGACGTCCCCGACCCCGCCACGCGCCGGGACTTCCGCTGGAAAGACGCCAGCGGCCCCAAGGAGAAGCTAGAGATCTACAAACCCACGGCCCGGTACTGCATCCGCTCCACGTTAACTCTAGAGTCCACGACTCTGGCCGCACAGCACTGTTGCTACGGTGACAACATGAAGCTCATCACCCGCGGGAAAGGAGCGGGAACGCCAAACCTCATCAGCACGGAGTTCTCTGCCGACCTCCACTACAAGGTAGACGTCCTGCCCTGGATCATCTGTAAGGGGGACTGGAGCCGTTATAACCAGGCCAGGCCTCCTAGCAACGGGCAGAAGTGTCCGGACAACCCCCTGGATGAGGATTACCACAAGCAGGTGGAGGACGCGCGGGAGTTCTAGAACCTGAGAGATGAACATGTGAAGGGGGGAAAAAAAACTAAAACTATCTGAGAAATGTTTATGAGTCTGATCTGGTACTTCAATTGGTGCTTCAAACCATCCATGACTGTTTTTTTTTTAGAGTTTGGAACTAGGGGCCGTATGAACAGGACTGTCTGTTGATATCAGCCAACGTGATGAAGAGACAACATATCTCTCACTTTGGACACCAGGAACTGTTCTCGCCCTCACCAAAATCACAGTCTATAAAAGTCACGTTTCTCATTTCTATGACATGCCTCAAATCAAAATGATATTCAAATGTAAAACTGTATGATGGATTTTCACAATATGTTTTCTGATAATAATTCTAAAAATGTTTGGTTTAAAAGGGATAGCTTGGTGTAGCTTCATAAAAAGGGAAAATCGCTTTTCATGTTGTAGATTTGTCTGTAAGTTTAGTTTGTTTCTGATTGGCTAAAATGAGAGCCCAGGGATTCTTCGTTGGGCTTAATGATCAGATCAGTATCTCCATGTTTTGAGTCACACCCCCCCCTAACCTATCAGAAGAGAGAGAGAGAGAGACATATCCCTGACCTATCAGAAGAGAGAGAGAGAGAGACATCCCTGACCTATCAGAAGAGAGAGAGAGAGAGAGAGAGAGAGAGAGAGAGAGAGAGAGAGACATCCCTGACCTATCAGAAGAGAGAGAGAGAGAGACATATCCCTGACCTATCAGAAGAGAGAGAGAGAGACATCCCTGACCTATCAGAGAGAGAGAGAGACATCCCTGACCTATCAGAAGAGAGAGAGAGAGAGACATCCCTGACCTATCAGAATCAGAAAGTGTCTCTGTGCTGTGGACAACACAACTGTAACTGACTGTATGGGGGAGGAGTCTTGTAGCATCCAGAACCTACCGAGCGATTGGGTTAGCATTCTGTCCATTGGTCGCTCTAGTACCCAGGTTCCCAGGTTCCTTCCCATGTATGCTTATAAGCTTGTCTATTTAGCATGCAGTTATTTTGTTTCTTTACGAACAACCCAATCTCCCCTCTTCCCTCTTGATTTCCTCCCTCCAGGTCATTATCTCCGGTGTAAAAAGCCTGCGTTATTTTTGTAAAGTATTTATTAACTTGTAGCTTCATGCCCCAATGTTGGGTGTCCAATGATCGTGGTCGCTGATTGGTTGATTGGTTTATGACTAGATGCTAACTTTAACATAGGACCCACGCTCAAACTGAATCATCACGATTGGCTTAAATCATTCATTGATTGATATTGATGAGAGATTTGCCCCAAAACTTTGAATGAGCCGCTCTTTTAAGGAAATGTGTGAATACAGTTGTACGGAAAAATATTATTGTGATATAAATGTTTAAATAAAACATGTTTAAATAAAGAACATGAAGTAACATGTCAGAGAAAGTGTACTTCCTATCTTGTATCTGTCAACTTATGATGAACGATCCGATCATAATATGGGGTTTAACAGCCAGATTATACAGTCAGTACAACGGGAATAAATAAAAAGAACATAACCTCTGAGATTATTATAGAATAAGAATATTATCAAGTATGTCTTAAGAATTAGGATCACTTGCTATTGGCTTTACTTCGCTGCTGTCAGCGAAACCTATCTGGGAAAAAACATTGTCTAACAGCTTAAGCCAGCGCACAACATGGATCACATTCTTTGTCTTTGGCATGTATCCTAACATTCCTGAGTCATTTCACTGAGTATGAACACTGCACACACATAGGGAAGTACACACACACACACACACGACACATACGCACGTGTACGTGCACGCTTGGAGCAGGCAGGGCTCTCTGGGATGTGAGTGTGTATGCAAAGTGTGTTTCCTGATGTGTGTGTGTGTGTGTGTGTGTGTGTACATACCCTGAGTGCTACAGTCATTGTGACACAGAGAAAGCCATTCATGCTGGCCTCATTCCTTATAGCCTGCCTGTAGTGTTGTGTCTGAGCCTCAGCTGGGCTACTGTATCAGGGCTCTCTCTCTCTCTCTATCTTCTCTCTCTGTATTCTATCTGTCTTTATATATGTCTCTATCTCTCTGTCTCCTCTCTCTGTCTTCGCGTCTCATCTGTCTCTCTTCTCTGCCTCTCTCTCTCTCTCTATATGTCTCTATGTCTCTCTATCTCTATTCTCCTCTCTCTCTCTCTCTCTCTCTCTCTGTTCTCTCTCTCTATCTCTCTCTCTTCTCTCTCTCTCTCTCTCTCTCTCTCTCTTTCTCTCTCTCCCTGTCTCTCTCCCTCCCTCTCTCTCTCTCTCCCTCTCCCTGTCTCCATCTCTGTCTGTCTGTATCTGTACAGCAGCAGGTCACAGCACGTTCCAGCTCTGCTCCACACCCCTCAGGCACTCCTTTCTTCATTCTGCACAACCACTCACATACACACAATGTCTTCCTTACAACCACTCACATACACACAATGTCTTCCTTACAACCACTCACATACACACGATGTCTTCCTTACAACCACTCACATTCACACGATGTCTTCCTTACAACCACTCAGCCTGACATTCTGCACAACAATGCATGTCCTCTATTGGATTTGTACCCATACTACAGCAAAGCGTTCAGACATCTTTTTTTTTTTTTTTACCGTTGTTGTCTTGTATCTGTTCTTAGTCACAAGCAGCTAAGATTACTGTTGCAGTTGGTCGGGCAGCAGGGGAAAGGCACCAGCGATCATTATCTAATCACACTGACTGACTGGCTGACTGACTGACTGACTGTCTGACTGACTGTCTGACTGACTGACTGACTGACTGACTGACTGACTGACTGTCTGACTGACTGACTGACTGACTGACTGACTGACTGACTGACTGACTGACTGAACGCACGCACGCACGCACGCACACACACACACACACACACACACCACACACACACACACACACACACACACACACACACACACACACACACGTGTCTCTAAAGCAGGCAGCATTAGCATCCCGATTGGTTTTAAAAACAGCAACAATAAAGTATCGATACATTAATAAATATTAAAATAATACATTTCTTTCAACTATATTGTGCAAATATCACACAGCTGATGTATTGCATCTAGAGGGTGAACAGTGTATACAATGTGTTTTCTTTTTGGACATTTAAGCAACATTTGGAACAATTTAATGGGTGTTTTACAGATATATTTTTTAGTTTGATTATATTCACTTTAGGAAAGGATTTAAGGAGTTGAGGAATACTAAAGCACAATTCATTTCAGGATGTCTTGATTCTTCTCGACAGCCTCCGTATGTTTGAAGCCAGTTCCCATTAGACTCTCTCCTTGTTTAGAAAGTTTACTCTTTCGGCCAACAGGAACAGATATCACAGGCTCCAAACTGTCCAATGGATCCATAACCAAAAGCCACCACGACACTCAAGAGCTCAAAGCTAACGTAAAAGCTATGTAGCCAGCGCACGAACAGCTGAGCATGACAGCTGTCTATCAATGCATCTGGCTGAAGGGGAGGGGTTGGCCTAAATAAAATGGAAATGATTTGCTAAGGGCAAATTCAGACTTAGGAAATGTATGCCTTTCCTACTCACTTCTCAGTAGTTGGCTGGTGTGGTTCACTTGTGCTGAAAACCCTCCCACTTGCTGGCCTACAGATTTTCATTCAGTAGAGTTTTTAGTACATTTATCTTAAGCCATCCCTTTAAATAAGGTGTACCTTTAATTAGCATTTTGTTTACAGACTCACTAGAATTCAGAGAGAGAACGGCTTCATAGTTTTCAGGGATCATTGAAAGGAAACCATCTAAATTGCTGGATATTGGCGGGAACTGGAACACGCTGTTGTACACGTCAATCCAGAGCATCCCAAACATGCTCAATGGGTGACATGTCTGGTGAGTATGCAGGCCATGGAAGAACTTGGACATTTTCAGCTTCCAGTAATTGTGTCCAGATCCTTGTGAAATGGGACCGTACATTATCATGCTGAAACATGAGGTGATGGCAGCAGATGAATGGCACGACAATGGGCCCCAGGATCTCGTCACGGTATCTCTGTGCATTCAAATTGCCATCGATAAAATGCAATTGTGTTCGTGGTCCGTAGCTTACGCCTGCACATACAGTGAGGGAAAAAAGTATTTGATCCCCTGCTGATTTTGTACGTTTGCCCACTGACAAAGAAATGATCAGTCTATAATTGAAATGGTAGGTTTATTTGAACAGTGAGAGACAGAATAACAACAAAAAAATCCAGAAAAACACATGTCAAAAATGTTATAATTGATTTGCATTTTAATGAGGGAAATAAGTATTTGACCCACTCTCAATCAGAATGATTTCTGGCTCCCAGGTGTCTTTTATACAGGTAATGAGCTGAGATTAGGAGCACACTCTTAAAGGGAGTTCTCCTAATCTCAGCTTGTTACCTGTATAAAAGACACCTGTCCACAGAAGCAATCAATCAACCAGATTCCAAACTCTCCACCATGGCCAAGCCCAAAGAGCTCTCCAAGGATGTCAGGGACAAGATTGTAGACCTACACAAGGCTGGAATGGGCTACAAGACCATTGCCAAGCAGCTTGGTGAGAAGGTGACAACAGTTGGTGCAATTATTTGCAAATGGAAGAAACTAAAATTACTGTCAATCTCCCTTGGCCTGGGGCTCCATGCAAGATCTCACCTGGTGGAGTTGCAATGATCATGAGAACGGTGAGGAATCAGCCCAGAACTACACGGCAGGATCTTGTCAATGATCTCAAGGCAGCTGGGACCATAGTCACCAAGAAAACAATTGGTAACACACTACGCCGTGAAGGACTGAAATCCTGCAGCGCCCGCAAGGTCCCCCTGCTCAAGAAAGCACATATATATGCCCGTCTGAAATTTGCCAATGAACATCTGAATGATTCAGAGGAGAACTGGGTGAAAGTGTTGTGGTCAGATGACACCAAAATGGAGCTCTTTGGCATCAACTCAACTCGCCGTGTTTGGAGGAGGAGGAATGCTGCCTATGACCCCA